TTTGATCCATTTATTATGGTTGAGATTATTTTCAACGTTTCATTTTGCTAGTGTATGGGATGATTGTTGTTTGATGCCTAGTCATACTTTCAGCTCTAGATGGAAGATGGTGATATCCGTTGACAGTTAATCTTGTTCATTTTTATCAAAATAGCGTATTCATTTTTGCACGACCATCTGATCTCTATTGCATTTTTTCTTTCAAATTTATGGTCAGTTTCAAACTTTTAATTGATTGAATTGTTTGTACTGCTGTTTTTCTTCCATTCCCAAGCACTCAATGATGAAAAAAGAATCATTGACTCTATCCGTGACTGATTATAAAGTAATCACCATGTTTTGGCTGAGATCGTAGACCTTCTCTGCAGAAAAAAAAACACTGAACATTTGTATAATATATTGTTCATAACTAAACTAGCTGTGTTTAATTTCAATTAGCTTCACATATTTGATGAGATTTCTCTCAAGTCTTTTGCCCGTGGTATCTGATGTGCAGTTCTTATATATTCGTAGCTGGACATTTCGTTTTGAGGGCACATATAAAATTTTGAACAGGTCTGGCGACACAGTTAGCTTTTTCTCATACAAGCTTTCTGTTACTAAAACCCTGGTCACATTGATCTGCTTTTTGTAACCCTTTTAGTTTTTTCCATGCTTGCAAGTTCTAAGTGAGAAACTTGTTTGACTTATTGTGAATGTGCTGTTACAGACAAACTGGCGTAGGCCGAAGGGTATTGATTCTCGTGTAAGAAGAAAGTTTAAGGGATGTACTTTGATGCCCAACATTGGTTATGGTTCAGACAAGAAGACACGGCATTATCTCCCAAATGGCTTTAAGAAATTTGTTGTGCAAATGTTGGAGAACTTGAACTTTTGATGATGCACAACAGGTAATCTAATACATACTGTGTTTTACACAAGCATCTAATGTGTATATATAATTTAAGTTTGTGTTCTAATTTCACTGTTTGTTGCTTTCAGAACATATTGTGCTGAGATTGCTCATGATGTTTCAACAAAGAAGAGAAAAGGTATTGTTGAACGAGCAGCACAGCTTGATGTTGTTGTTACGAACAAGCTAGCCAGACTGCGCAGCCAAGAAGATGAATGAGCATATAAGCATGTAGTTATTTTTAGCATCGAATCATTGTTTGTGTTATTGCAAAATTTGGATAATTTGGTTTTTTTAACGACAATAACTTTTGCAACATGGACTTCATTTGTATTATGGAATTATTACCACAAGTACACTTATGTTTGAGATATTTTTAAAGCGATTATGAGTTTCACTTCCTATCTCTAATGGGGTTTCTTTTTTGGTATTTAGCTTCGGGTAGTTATATCGAGTAAATCCGAAGACATGTAGTTTAATGAAAATTTTCTCAAATTATGATTTTGATGTTTACAACACTTGATAATTTGCTTAAGGTAAATTTAGGTCAGGCATTGATGTCTGTTTCATCACTAATTTTGACTACGAGGATTCAAATCCTAGCAATGATTAGGATTTACAATCTGATTATTACCTATACGATCGTTCTTGGAACTATAATCAGTACAAAGAAAGAAGTTTAACATGATTCATCATACGTATCATGAGTTCATGTAGTGAAGTCTAACCCGTTTTGTGCTTGTTTCTTCTCTCTGATAAGTCTTCACCCCACCATGGGCTACCCATAAAAACCATGGCAGCAACAGCTACAGCTGCGACTCCAACTGATGCAATAATTGAACCCCAATTGAGCTTTTCTCAATGTTATTAAAACCGGACCGGACCGACCGGTTTGACCGGTTGAACCGTGAACCGGTGGCCTGCCCGGTCCGGTTAACTCCCAAAACCGGATGAGCACAGAACCGGTAAAACCGGGGTGAACAGGCTGAAAACCGGCAAAACCGGTTTGAACCGCCGGTTCACTTTTTAAAAAAAAAAAATTAAACCAAACGACGTCGTTTTTCAACGAGCCGAGTCAAATTCGAGTATTGCTGAGCTCGACTCGAACTCGAAAACTTTAAAAGTAAGCTCAACTCGACTCAAAAACTCACGAGCTAAAAATTATCAAGTTCAACTCGAACTCGAAATATAATATTAAAACTTGAAATCGAAAAGGCTCGAACTCAAAAAAAAATTTAGAACTTCGGTTGAAGCATAAAATTTGAGCTCAATTGAAGCGAAAGAATAATTCGCTTTGTGCTCACCAAAAAGCTCCATGATTTTGAATGTCAAATTACATCTATTATTTATAAAAGTAAGTTAGGATGCTATTTTATGTTTCTTAGTCATGTGAGATTGTTTTTTTTAAACAATTAAACCAAATGACATCATTTGTTATGATTTTTTTAAGCCTCAATTTTAATTTTTTAATTATAATTATATTTATTATTTAATATATTTTACCTTAAATATTATGTTGTAGTTAATTTGAATCATTTTGTTTCACTTGATTTTATGGTTTTTAATTTATATATGTTATGACTTGTGATATTTTTATACTTTTTAATATTGTAAACTTAAAAAAATGTTACATGTATATTAATATTGTTTTGAATATTATGTAAAATTAAAAAAATATATTATTTTATATAAAATCCGGTTCAATCCGATTGAACAAGTAAACCAGTACCTTCACTGGTTCACTGTCCGGCTTTAAAAACATTGGCTTCATCCTTCGGGACCCAACCCTTCAGCTCCATGCTCTTCTTACCTTTCAACCCCACAATAGTTGTCTTCAGCTCCAACAAGCCAGACTCCAACTGCCCCATCTTCACTTCCATCTCACTCACCTTCGCCGGCCCTTTCAAGCCCTCAATTCCTTCCATCATCGTCTTCAGGTCAAGTAATTCAATACTCCCCCTCTCCAACATCGCCTCCAAGAGCTCGATTTCCTTGCGCAATTATTGGGTTCCCATGTCCCCGAACTCCTCCTCCTAACCATTATAACTTGCATTCGCCTTTTTTATTTGACATACAACATCACCATCACCCCACTCAACGTTATCAACCGCATTTCCCAACTTCTCAAACTTCTACATTGTTCCCTCCTTATCCGAAACTAGTTGACACAGATTCTCTTGCTGGTCATATAGATCGATTCCTAACTCTTTAAAGATCTCACTTTCTTCACATTTCTTGGTTTCTTCAATTTCGAACCTGAAATCTTTAACTTCATCATTTATTTTCCCTATCTCAAGCATCACATTGACAAACTCTTGTTCCAATTTCTTCTCTTTCAAACACTCACATCCTTCAATTTCTTTCACTTCCCTAAACTTCTCCACTTCATCGCCTTCAAACCTTTTTTGGATAATCAACATTAGAACTTTCCGTTCAAGTTGTTCGATTTCCTGAGCTAATTGGATTTCACGTTGGTTAAATTCTTCAACCCTGCTCTTCAAATGCGTTAACTATCTTTGTTTTCTACACTGAAACAGTTTAATCTATTTATATATATACACATATATATTCCTATATAATTACATGAAAATTTGTATTTTAATATAAATAATGATTAATTATTAGTATAGATAATTAAATTTTTAAAAAATATTTCTTTAATTAAATTACAAAATTTTATGTTAAAGATATATCTAAGATTTTCACTTTTTTCTCCCCCATTTTCTCTTTTTTCGCTTGGGAGGATATTGTAACCATTACTAAAGTTTTTTAACATTAAGTGCTACAAGTTGGGACGACTAACATCAAGTTCTATATTTGTCAGTTTACATATAAAAAAAAAACTTTAGTACAAACATTGTAGTCAAAAAGGATTGATTGGATTTCATATTATAGAAAAGGGTTAACAACATGGAAAATCACTTCATTTATGTTTTGTTTACTTTTGGTCACTGATTTCAAAAAACATAAGATATGATTATTTTCGTTTTTATTTAATTAAGATGTGGTCACTCCGAGTTAAATGTCGGTAACAGCAATTAAATATTTTTGATATAATCACACATTTGATCTCTGTTGTTTACATATTCTCTCAATTTAGTCTCACTTTTAATAAATTAAAATAAATTTAATCCTATTTCATAACTGGGAGTTGGCTTAGAATTTTTTTGAGTCGAGACGAGTCAAATTTTTGAGTTTCTGTTTAAATTTAATTATAAATATTTATAATATTATGATATTATTTGATTCTAATTTAAATAATCTTTTTATAACCATATACAATACATGTGTATTTCTTCATATTTTTTCATATGTGATATACATTTATGATACAAAGTCGAGAGACTCAACTCAAACTTGAAAATCAATCTACTAATTACTAAAATTTTTTAGTTATTCGAGTTGTATTTTATAACTCAGTTTGACGTTGAAATTTTTTAAAGTCGAGTCGGGTTTATGAAAGTTTTTTTGACTAGACTAGACTAGACTCGGCTCGATCGAACGATCACCCCTACGCGGCATGACATGTGATGTCATTCGGTTTGAGGATTAAATTTATTTTAATTTATTAAAAGTATGACTAAATTAAGAGAATATGTAAATAATATGGACCAAATGTGTGGTTATATCAAAATATTTAACTGCTGTTAACGGAAGTTAACTCGGGGTGACCACATCTTAATTAAATAAAAACGAAAGTGACCACGTCTTAATTAAATAAAAATGAAAGTGACCATATCTTATGCTTTTTAAAATTAGTGACCAAAAGTGGACAAAACATAAACGTAAGTGATTTTCTATGTAGTTAATCCTATAGAAAATATATAATAATTTATTTATTAAAAAGAAAATAAGATGATAGTGATTATCATTTGATTTCAGATAAAATTTCAATCAATTTTCTTCATCAATTGACAAAGAATATAAGGATATCACATTTTCGAAAGAATAAGCGGAAAACGAGAAAGCAAGAAAGAATCTGGGTGTTTATTTTGAAGGATTGCCTTGCCTTGACCATGAAGCATGGCCAAGCCTTTGCAAGAAAAGAACCAAACCCATCATTTCGACGGCCTATATAGTAGCCCCCCCCCCCCCCAAAAACTCGCAAATCACATGTACCTGCCATTTCTTTTTTGCATTGTACCTCTTTTATTTTCCGCAAATCATCAGATAAAAAGAGGCAATGGCCAATGCTCAAATGAAACCCGTCGCTGCTCTGCTTCTGTTCCTTAATTTCTGCATGTATGCCATTGTTATAGGGATTGGTGGATGGGCCGTCGATAAAGCTATTGATAATGGTTTTACCATCGGTAAGTCACCTTTCAAATATTCGCCTATAATGTACGTCTAAGGCTTTAGTTTAGATGGTTTCTTCATGTGACACTTGCAGGACCTGGCTTCGAGCTTCCGGCGCATTTCTCACCCATTTACTTCCCCATGGGAAATGCTGCCACCGGATTCTTCGTGACATTTGCTATGCTCGCCGGAGTTGTCGGTGTAGCATCCGTAATCGCCGGTATCAACCATATCCGTTCATGGCAGGCTGGTAGCTTGCCATCAGCAGCTTCAATTGCTGGCGTTGCTTGGACTCTTACTTTACTCGCCATGGGGTCAGCCTCTTAACTCTGCCATCTATAAACACAAGCTTGGGCATCAAGTCTAAAGTTAAAAGACGTCAAGCCCTCAAACTAACTTGAAACTTTTCCTTGGCAGATTTGCATGCAAAGAAATTGAGCTCCAAGTCAGGAATGCTCGTCTGGTACGAATGAAATTCAGCACCCACCCAATTCTCAACTCCAGTAAACTCTTCGACTTGTATAAATTAGTTAACGCCAATAATCTCTTCTTTTGCAGAGAACAATGGAAGCATTTATAACCATACTTGCAGTTACACAGCTTTTCTACATTGCAGCAATTCACGGCGGCGCGTGAATTATTTAAGTTGAAAACATGGTTAAAGTGGATAAAAGCTCTGTGATTACTTCGTTTTATATCTTTTATAGCCATGAAATTTTCTCTATTGCATTCGCTTGATTCTTTAGGTGTAATTGGTGTGATACAAATGAGCTTTCACATGGACCTGTAAATTTTCTGGTGCAATGACAAGATTCCATCAATCTCCAAGTCCAACTAGAACAAGGCAGTAAAGTTGCATCGTTCACATTGCAGCTGCGGCTGAGCACTACCTAATTAAAACCGATTTACCAGACTGATCAAAACCAACTATATTTACTTTAATTCGATTCAGTTTAATGGGTTTCATACTCAAGAACCAAATTTCTCCTAGGAGCAGCACTAATCAAAAGACCTGCCATGCTAACGAATTAGTTCGTCAATGAAAACTTGTAATCTTCAATAATGCATTATCCACGATTATAAAGTAGTATTTTGACACCTATTATTGGTCTTGGCAAGCAAACACGTCTATAAATTTTCTGAAACAAAAAGATATTATCAAAATTCGCAATATAGACACTGACAGAGGAACCATGTTGAAATTACACTAGGAAACACTAGCATACTGTTAGGAAACTAGTCCCTGCAACCTGGAAACAAGAACTAGATACAACACGAAGCTAGCTAAGAAACTATGCCGCAAATGTGCCAATAAAAGATTGTACCCAAAGCTAGTAATCGACAACTAGCGACTACCAGCATCCACAGTATCACTACCACGAAACTTTCAACTGTTTTTCTAGCTAGGTCTGTCGCACATTATTCTTTAAAGAAAAACATTGAGTCTTGAAATAAAATAGAATTATAGAAACCAAAACCATTTGTGACTTTGACGAACTGCATGTCTACCGAAACCCCATGAACAGATGGTTCTGCATTAAAAAGAAAACAGTGTGTCAAACATGATCCAACTAGTATATAATTCGATGCTAGAAACTGGAAGACTGTCACCAATAGACATCCCAATCATTAAAATTTGGACTTTCAAATTGGAAATGGAGGTGAGGTGAAAACACAAATGCCCTTAGCAGATGACCGTTAATTCAACAGGGAGGCATTTGATCCACATATAGCCTCCAGCATTATGAAAGCAAAACTTTACCAAATTACGAGGATATGTGAAGATTGAAGGGGATAAAATATTAATCAGACAATAGTGTGGATCAATTGATCAACAAATGCCCTTAGCAAATGACCGTTAATTCAATAGGGAGGCAATTGGACATGCTACCGAGTAATATTCCATCATTCACCGCTTATTTGGTTCGACCAGGATTAATTGGTGATTAGTTCAACAGAGAAGGAACAAAAAGTAATTTTTTTTAAAAAAAAGAAAAGCAGACGATAAAGTCAAGGTCACTAAAGATGGCAAAAGAAATACCAGATAGTTAACAAACAATAAGTTCAAGATATCTACTTGCAGTTACATAACTCTAGTATTCTCATGCATGCATGCATACACAAAGGATATGAGCTACCCAGCATATCTTAGTATGCATGCATGCATCAAGAAAAGTATACTACAGTTTTTGAAATTCAATGGATAACTCAAACCTGCAATTATCTTCCAGAATCAGTAAAAGCATCAAACAATCCACAGAAACTTAACACTGAGGTTCTTTGCACAACGGGAAGAGTTGAAGCGACAAGATGCTGTGAACCCATTAAGCAAACAAACAACAAAACCTTGTAAATCAACTTAAATAAGGAATGTCAAACCCACAACTTCAGAAGAAAAATTGGGGATTGGCCAGATGTACCTGCTTTTCAGAATTAACATGAGACTCAAAATGTTGAGTTTTGTCCACCAAAGTACTACTTTCAGCGGAAGTACTGGACGATGAAGAGATTTTTCCTTCAGATTCTCCCAATTCAAGCCTAGACACCATTTGAGGAGGGCAATAACCTCTCTTCACTTCCCTTCAACCCTGGCTCAACATCAGGCACTGGTTTGTTGCAGAAACTTCTGTCGCGTGATCCACTTCCTCTTGCACGGATAAAGCAGTTTTTACCAAATTGACAACATTGGCAGTTCCCACGGCAGAATTACTGTTAACGTTCCCGACTGCCGCTTCAACAACCTTCAGGACTTCGCCGGACATGACAGTAGCGGGCTTATCCTCATCGCCATATGCGGTCACTTCAGAACCAAAATTATACGCTTCTTCCTTTGACTTATTCTCAGAGGTTTGAGATTCATCCTCTGAACTGCTACTACTGCTACTGGAACTCTCATCATGCTCAATGTGCTGAACAGTGACAAGTGTACTCTCAAGATCCTCCTGATGTTCCAACTCCTTTTCAATTTTCACAGCAACAACATCGTCCGATCCTGATCTCTCAGTGTTTCCTGCATCCCTGATGGCCCCTTCCGCGGACTTCTCCTCTGCTATATGTGATTGAATAGATGAAGGCCCCCTTTTCCCTTCTTCCCTCTGATTGGATGGATGCTGGTGATTTTGGTCCCGTGGGATGCAGGAGAACCAACATCACCGCCATCATTTTCCCTTTCATCCTGGCTTCTTGGATCCCCATTTCCTAGCACCATTTGATAAAATCACAATAGTTCTAATCACTGAGCAGAAGTTAACCAGTTCCCTCTAGAAATGACCCAAATAAACACTATAGAGAACTGATTGACAAGAGTTCTAAATTTTATTAATCAAAATGCTTTCCAATCAATTTCAATGAAAATAGAGCAACTAAAACCAGTTCCCTCTGTATTTATTTAAGTAATTATACACATAGGATGGCATGATCGATGATTCCCCCTTCTCTCCTTTTTATCCTTCAAAGATCGTGTGGGGCGTCCCTAATGTCTAATTGGCTGCTCTCACTCTCTGCCAAATCCTATGTGTATAATTACTTAAATAAATACTAGCTGAAGATTCAGAAATAATACAACGGATTAGTAGCAAAAGCTAAAGCGTCATTGGTGAATTTAAAAATTCAGATTCTCCTTCAAGTAACAATCGCTGATGGGATCTTAAATTTGTTTATTTTCTCTGTGCTTAGCCAATATGGGCTCTTCTTTTTCTTTTTTTATGGCAAGTACAAGCAAGATGTATATTTTATATTTTTTTTATGAGAAGAGACATGTTCACTTGGGTAGAGGATCAACCAGGTTGTTTTCAGATTATTATTATTGGTTTATCAACTAAGAAACACATGCTCTTCTTTTATTTATTCATTCATCACATAAACAAAAGAAAATGCACGATAATGAATGAGATCATTAAGTTTGAAGCCACAGACCGAAGGAAAACATCGGATACGCTGGCAAAAGAATATAAAACTAAATCTACATTAAAGAACCTGTCCGATGTCTATTTCTCTTTCGTTTGGACACGTGCCTATCTGTGGGCGTTCTCTTTATGTAGTTTCGAATGCTTTTCCCTGGGAGATTTTTTTTCTTCTTCTTTCTTTCATACGTTCATGTTCATTACTTTTTCCTTGCTTCGTTTATTTCGTGGGATTGTAGTTCAATTGGTCAAACCAGAGCACAGCTCTGTCAAAGCAAGAGCTGCAGGTTTGAGTCCTGCTAGTCTTGCCAGATTTTGTTAATAGATCAGTTGCCACCGTCATCACGCACAAATCAATACATACTACGACAGATTTATATATATTTTGAAAAGTAAATCCACTATCTTAATAATATAAATTTTTAAAAAGGATGAACATCATAAATAAAGTAAATAATTAAACGAGAAAATTCAAATTTTAAAATGAATAGATATTCACCTTCAAATTATTGTCCATTTACTACTATATATATATATATATAATGTTTTTCAATCTAGTTTTAGTGTACTCTGTAACTAAAGATATTTTATAACTTTTAATTGAATCGAAAATAGATTAATAGGTAACAGGTACATAGGGGTGGATAGGTGGATGCCAGGTAAGATCACATTTTTAGAAATTTTAAATTTTTATATTACATTTCAATATAAGTTTATGAGTTACCAACGGGGTTGGTTCAAGTGGTAAGCAACTTGATATCATTTAAGTAATATCTTAGGTTCGAGTCTTTGTGTATGCAGAAAATCTCCATTAGGAGACTCACCCACCAAAGTCAGGTGTACGACCCGGGTCGGTCTATATTAGTCAAGGCGAAACTTGAAACTGGAGGGCAACAAAAAAATATAAGTTTATGAGTTCGTACTCCTAACATAAAATTATACATTTATCTCTTCTAATCGTTAACATCAAATTTAATAAAAAAATTAATTATTAATATAAGTGCGTAAAAAAAATATTTGTTGGACACTTTTTCCTAAAATATGAAATTTTATAAATTGATCAATATTGTTTTAAAATATATATTGAATAAATTAGTGTTTTTGATTATTAACTTTAAAATCAACAACTCTATCCTATATAGATTCATGAATGCAAGATACTTTATTATTTTATGAGCTGAAGAAGGTCACATGATTGACATGGCAATCTAGCGATGATAAAGACTAATACCCTAAAACCAACTACAACTAAAGGTTGACATTGGCATTTGATATATATTGCCGTCGTAGATACGGACTTAAATATCTTTCAAACATTAAGTACTCTCCTCCACTACTGCATGGCCACCGATGGACGCCTTGCACTCTGGTGGCCGACGACCACCATTACCGCGATGCTGTTTCCGTTTCAGATCATTGCAATAGTAGTAAATTCTGTAACGTTTACGCACCCAACTCAGCTGTTTTATGCCCCGAGCGTTAAGCCCTTGGATGCCCCATTCACTTTTAGCAACGAAGTTTCTGTAATAAGCAACGAAAGGAGCCTTGGACCAATCGGTTTTCACTCTCCCGCCTCTGGTCGCCCAATCATCGGCGTCCCACAAGCTGGCGTACACCTTCATCCGCTGCTTATTGGGGTACGGAACTCCGATGGACTTTTCGTTGCTAAACACCCTTATCGGAATGTTATCCACCAAGATTCTGAAATCATAAACAAATGAAAGAAGGTCACTGAAAATTAATGTTTGAGAAAAGACCGAGTGCCGATGAAGAAGATTCTTACATGATGTTTCGAGGATTCCATACGATAGAATATGTGTGGAAACGTTTTGTTGGGTCGAACCAGAGGTGGAACCCTTCCTCCCTTCCCCCTTGTCCTTGAGTGAAAACGTTGGTATGAAGAGTGTAAGGAGAGCCGCTTTTGTTACCCAAGAACTCAAGATCGATCTCATCGTGAGACGGGCCTTCAGAAGATAACTGCAAAACATCATTTTATGGAATATCAAAGAGTTGAATCTTCTTGGGGTGCTTTCCAAAGATATTAAGGAGAAAGAACGTACGTAGAAGGTGGTGACGGTGCCGGCAGAGTTACCAGCTATGAGCTTCATGTTCACGTTGAACCTTCCGAAGAGGTAGTCTCTCCTGGACTTGAAACCAGAGCCTCCGGAAGTTTTGTCCATGCTAAGGGTTAGAAGATTGCCTCGACCGAGTATTCGAGCATGGCGGCCGCCCCATGTTACCTGCACATCTTGATGGAAATTATTGGCAAAAGTAGCAGCAATGAGAGAAAGCAAAAGCATTGATGAAACTCTCAAGTTTCCCATCTTCCAAGTAAGAAAAGTGTTAATGCTGTAGTTGAAACCATGGGGGGAGAGGGCTATCATATATATAGGTAATGACCTGATCACAGGTTGTTTGATTGATATATCACAATTTGAACACGTGAATCTTTGCAGCTTCCATTTGTATTTTGAAATACATAGTGTATTGTGAAACTCAAGGCAAAGAAGAATTTTGGAAAGTGGGCTTATGGCCCAAACAATGGATTAATTTATTCCCCCCTGCAAAAGATTGTGGAAAGGGTGAATCAGAAGGGCCTTATTATCAGCTGATTTTATTTGGACTCAAACTTGGTTTTTCTTTCGGTGTAGACAGATCCATAGAGGGTTACAGTCCACTTGCACAGACACGGCTAACTGTGTGGTGTTGTAAATACTGTAATGTAAGAGTTTGGAATCAGTAATCAATGGCAGCACTTCTTTCGTGATCACGTGAGATGCTAGCAATGGAAGCATCAACCAACGGTTTTAAATTTTTATTAACAAAATCACTTCTGCAATGTTGATTGTGATGGATTAAAGAACATACCACCTTAATGGACATCCAATTCAAATGAAACACCATTATCCAGCGGGTAGAGTGCGCTTGGTTAGTGAACAAATTATTAAGAACTGAGTTTATTCGTTATCGTTCTCACCAGATGAGGAAAGGTTATTACTAACAATAGTATTTTTGTATAGTTTAGGAATGGCATTCTTTAGGTATTTGAATAAAATCAGTTCTAGTATTTTTCTTGTCAAAACATTTAGTGAATCCATCCAACAACATTACAAAATGCAAAAGCTTAATTTTACTGTACGGGGGAAATAAATGAGATGATTCATTTTCTTGATATTATAAACTAATTATTGACTGGGTGATCAGGTTTCCATTGACAGAAAACATACCAAAAACGGAATGATACAAGTCTCGTAGGAACAACTTATCATCCAAATCCATGAACCAATAGAGAAACAGTTTCAAAGGAAAACAAAAAAGCCACAATAAAATCATAAAACCTGGAACCGAATATTTAAAGAGAGAGAAAGAAGAAAGATTAAGATCCGGAATTGTTCGACGGTAGAAAAAGTGTACATTGCGTGGATGGAACTGCCCCAAGCAGCTTTCCTGGATTTGGCAGACGGGTTATCGAACCAGAAGGTCCACAAGTACTCCACCAGATGTGGCTGCAGTGCTCCACTATGTCCTCCTCTGCCCAAGGTAAACATCGTTTCTTCCTCTTCAGTCTCCACCTCACCCTCTTTCAGGCTAGGAATAGGGTTCTTATTGGATTTCAGATTTCCCTTTGCCCCCTTTTTCTTTTCCTTTCTTCTTGGCTTAATATAAAAATAAATGTAAACCATATACTTTTTTTATTTAAATATTTAAATTATTTTTTTGATTAATTTAAGTATTTAAATTATTTTTCGATTAATTTAATTATTTAACATTTTAACCGTTATACTTTTAGGTGTCTAGATTTTATCGTTGTTAAATTTTACAGTTAAATGACATCCATTTTATAAAATTTCAAAAATTTATATTTTTTATAAAATAAAATTTCTTAAATTGTTTGAGTAAAACATGTGTCAATCGACAAAATTTAACATCAGTTATGATCAATATACCTCAAATTCTTGTATTAAGCATTTTTTTTCTTTAACATCACCTGTTATGTAATCCTGGTCAAAAAAAAATAAAACATGATTAGGCATTTATTTTTGTATTAAGCATTTTTTTTCTTTAACGTCACCTGTTATGTAATCCTGGGCTTTATTTCGGAAGATTATTAAATCAGCTTAATTTTCTGATTACCTAATGGATCTAACAAAATTACTTTAGTTCAAACACATGGACTTTTTCTATTTAGTTAGCAGCAATTTACCAATTAAAAAGTGCGAAGAAAAGGACCAGCTTGAATGTTAATAATTTCAACTTGGCAGAAAATATATAAATTCAACAAAAAGTTCTGATGGAAAAACATCCGTGAAAACAGAACCCATATCTTTTCTTCTAAATTATCGATTATACAGAAAATCAAAGAGTAACATCTAAGGAACATTTAGCAAAAAACGAAAGAGTAGCCACACTGCTCATGAAACTGGAGATAATCTCTAGCTCTAATATATATGTATAAATAGTGTCTGCTTTAGTTAATTCAGTTTCCTACTACGTATTGACTATTTTTTTGGTTTTTTCTTACTATTATTAACAGGGAACTGGAACAAAGGGCTGCTGCAATCGAAACTACTATTTTTTATGACAGAATTTCCCCCTCTTCACCATCTTCATTCAGAAATGCGTCCTCGTCATCCTCATCTTCAGAATACTCGGCCTTGATGAACAAACCCAACTGTTGCAGTGGATTCCCAATAATTCCTTCATATAATGCTCCACTCACCTTCTCAGAATCTTTCTTAAGATCATGCGATTGATTATTAGAAAGGGAGCATCCACTTAGCATCTCAAGTTCTTTCAAAATCTCCAAGTTCTGCTCAATCTCAGCTGTTTTCTCCATCTGGAAAACCAGGCAAGTAAATAATCGATTTAGCTGATGCTCTGTTTCACATTTTGTATAATAGTATTACAATGATCTAGAGTCTATTATCCATACACACATGTGGACAAAAAGATAACAAAAGATAAAACCTTTTGCAATTCAATTCGAGCAGCTTCTCTTTCTCTTTCTCGTTGCTTTTTCAGCTCGACCTCTGCCTTCATTTTTGCAGCTGCTTCAGCGGCTACTATTTGAGCTTCGATTTTTGCCTTTTCTGTGAAGATACAAGAATCACGTATAAGGTCTGGGCACACTAATGCCCTGCAATTACTCATCCAACTTAACACTACTAAGGAAGGTCACTATGTACACTGAAAGTACTAATATTCCAAGTCACTTGCAACATGCATGTATCAATAGTATCTCAGATTACAAATAAAATATAGACTCGTATACAAGTCTATAAATCAAATCACTCCATTTCTCTGATAACCCTCAGATATAAAGACAAAAAAACTCGAACACCAAAGATAGAAAAAGAGAGATTCTACAATATGATATCAAAATAATTATTTGCATAGTAGGCATATATTGCATCCTAGTCATAAGATTGAATCGGGAGACAATCAAGAATACAAGCCGAGTTCTTTAACAGTTCATGGATCAAAGGATTTCTAAACATATAATTGGCAAGTAAAAAAATCAAGTGAAAAAGTTATTTCAAATCCGTATACATCTCTAAAGAATACCAATAAAGAGTTTCAGTTTCATCTTTTTAATTCCATTTTATGAGAGAATTAGAAGTTTTTTTTAGCAGAAAAAATAAAAAAAGGGGATAAATGAAAAAAATAAAAATGATCAACATTCAACACTACAAAAAAATAGTAAAGAACTACAACAAAGAAGCTTCAAAGATCACCTTCACGCTGCCTTCTTTCCAATCTTTCCTTTTCCTGCTGCAGCTTCACTGGATCAGTTTTATCACACTGTTTAACAAGACGTCATATATTATCACTAAGAAGACAACATGCAAGCAAAATTCCCGACACTAAAAATATACCCTTTCAGAAACTTACATGATCCAGTAGTGCCCTCTGCTGAGCTTTCAAAATAGTGTCTGCAAAACGAGTTTTCAGCATTGCAGCCCGGAGAGCCTTCTTTGGTGACAACCTCACATCAAAAATAGAAGTTGACAATCCTACATCAAATGATCAAAAAAACAAATTAAGTGATTAAGCTTACCGCACAAGGGATCTAATAACAAACAGAAACCACAACCATTAGAAAAAGTCCAATATTTAACATTAACAAATAAACTGACCTTCACCAGAAGCAGCATCTGTTGGAGTTGGAGTTGTAAGTTGAGAACTGTTGCATACATTCTCATCATCCAAAGCACTTACATCCCCTTAGCATTTTAAAAAGAATTACATTTCTCAGATCAAAAATCAATTGGGAAATCACAAAAATACAATCAAAATATTTCCTCACCATTAGAATCTTGATCAGACTTGCTCATTTGTGAAGTCAATGTGCTTTTTCCCTGGGAATCCTAGTTATTTAGTAGAAAAAATTAGTAACATATTTCATGGCCAATCATAAGAACAAACAGAATATATTGCTATAAAAGCAGTACTATATACCAATTCAGAGACATCAGCACTGCACACTCTAAGATCTCCACCCAATGATCTTTCTGAAGTCATATCTACAACGAACAAAAAATAAGTTATGTCCTAACACTACAAAACAGATGTAGCACCCAGAAACAATCAAAACTAACCGCTAGAAGATGCATGGAATGAATCATTTGGAAGGCTACACTGACACTTAATGCTGCCACAGAAACTGCATCTGGAGGCACCTGGGCTCACTGGTGACTTGGCATTGATAGACCCATGAGAAAATCCACCACTACCAGTAGCGGTGCCTATAAGACACATTGCAAATTAGCTCCTATAAAGAGCCATAAAGCAGAAATTGTATTCTGCCATTTCATACCTCTTTGTAAGCTTTTTCCTGCCAATTTGCTCACACAGTTCTGTGCCATTTTAGGAAGCTCAACCTATTAACAAGCCAAGAAACTCAGCATCCAAAGAAATGCAAACTTCTATGGTAACAAGCATAAAATGAGTAAGACGTTACTTCAAAGTCAAAACTAAAATACTACAATGACTATATCTCTGATTTGCTTTACAATTGTCAATGCCAAAATTGTTCATTAATAATAAATTGAATTTACACCAATTCAGTAATCCTAAAACGCATAACCATGATTGTTTACAAATATTATAGACAATTATCACCTCAGCTGCTCTCACATTCAGAGGCACCTTAGCAACCTTCTCCTCAGAAGCCCTTGACTTCTTGGGAAGAGAACTATTTCGATATAGCAGTGTTTTAGGACAACTCTGTCTTGATTCATTAACATCTTTCAGTCGCATGATCATAATTTTCCCTTTCCCGATCTTCAAATTTTCTTCATTACATTTCTCCTCCAAAGATTTCCATCTAGCCTCAAAAACATCTTTCATTTCTTTAGCCATTTTATGAACATTATTAGATGGGGGATTATACAGCATGGCATTAGAAAACGTTAGTCTGATATCAGCCACAAACTCATCGGTGCCAATATAAATATTCTTTGCAAGCTTGGACTTAACTGTACCCAAATCCATGGGGTTCTTTATTATGGAAAAATAATCAGGAATCCCCAATGCCTTAGGATCCACTGGTTTATTGAAAACCCAACCAGCTGGATGTTTCATCAGTGCTTTCAGTAGGGCAGAACACTGCTGAGTCATGCAACGGTCCATCTTCCGTCTCTTTTCTGGTGGACCACCCACACTCATCCCTTCTGGTCGGCGTTTGAAAGCACTTGAAGTCTCCTTAGAATTACCAGCAGATGATGTATTTCTTCCATCACAAGAACTACCCGGTTGCTGGTCCCACTCATAAGATTGTGGTGCTGGACTTGCTTCTACCTTCTGAGAAGGGAACTTGATCTTCAATTTCAGCTTTGGCATAGCACTTCCAGTAGCAATCATTCTGTAAAGTTGAAACCTTCAATTCTAACACCTAGATTTCCACTTTCACAGACACCGGTGAAAAAGTAGAAAGCAGAATAAACCTATAAAATTGAAGCAGCTACACACTATAAGTAAAGAATGAAAGAAATTAAAGAAATAAAATACATTAGGCACAACTTCTATTAGCAGGCAGAACAAATATCAAAAGAATCAGACAACATGAACAAACAAAATGCTTATCAGCAATTCATCATAAAAATGCTAGCACTGTAAGAACAATTGCACAGACCAAGAAACAAGCAAAGTGTCAATAACCCCCCCCCCCAATAAGATTACGAGCCATTCTATTTATTCCTTTTTACTGATAAGCTAGAAAAGAAAAAAATCTTAGTTATACCACGTTGACCAACAAATACCAAATCTTCGCCAATCGTAACAAACACTATTTGAGATAAAAGCTAAAAAAATCGTTTTTGGATCAGGCATAAACAAAACCCAGAAAAAAAAAGTTAGATCCCCTTGTAACAGACAATTCAGTAACGAAAACGCAAAATTGTAAACAAAAACCTCAGGAAAATGGAAACTAAGATTACAAATGAATACAATTTAAACTAGGAGCACCGCTAAAATAACTATATGAACTAATCAAAATTTCGCAACAAAAACCTAGGGCAAAATCATTCATTCCGGACCTCGATTCACCAAATCAAATAAACTAGAATACTCAAAACCATGCATGTGATAAAACTTAAGATAGAGCTTTGTGAAGCATACCAGAAATCAAGCCAAACAAGCGCCGGAAAATCTTCAACCAATTGCTCAATCGATAGATCGATTCGACAGCGAGGGATCTAATAGAGAGTTTAAAAAAGGGGGAAACAAAGAGACGGAAGAGAGAACAAAGCGAGACGAGAAGAGAGAGTGAGAAGAATTTGCTAGGGTGTATCTCCACACTGCTACTCATTCTCCACTCGATATTGCGAGAGGTGTAAATCTAAGCTAGGGTTTTATTATCTCTTGCTTGTTGTCTGTAGTCTGTACTGTACGTTCGCTTTTACAAATTGAATTACGATTCTTAATTTTTACATCAGAAATATAATGTAAAGGTCAAAAGTCTGTGTTTTATTAAATGACTAGCTTGTCCTAGGCTAGAGTATCGTTTTGGTTACAGTCGATGGTTAACAATGTAGTTTCCAAATTAAAATGGGATTGGGAAAAATACTAACAGCATATGGTATTATGTTACTGTTCACTCTGATTATAGAGTTTACGCGGTTTCGTACCTGTTCTCACAAATATGAGCTGTCTTTATTATATTAGGTCAAATAGGACTGAAGTATCTTAACTCTTTGTAGTACTATAATTTAGTCCTTCACTTTTACTTCTAAAATTTTAATCTCTACTCTTTTTTAAAATTTAAAATTCAAATTCAATTGTTAACTCATTTAAAATTCTTACGTAAATTTTTTGATATAATATTTTGGAATGAGAAAAAATGTTGTAATGGATATTAATGTAACAAAAGAATTTTAATGATATTAATAATAGGATTTTAATTTTAAAATTCAAAAGGAGGAGGGTTAATATTCTAAATGTATGAATGCTATAAGGACTTGAAGTTTATATATATATATATACACACACGTGTTAAAAGTGAGGATAGATATGGGATTTGGATTCGCAGGATTCGACTTAATTCAATCTTATAAGGTTTTGATTTAAAAAATTGTAAATTTAGAGTAAAATGTTTTTGACATAATCCGATATGAGATAATTATATTATTATTAATTATATATGTAGAGATAATTGTAATGATAAGTTTCTCTCTATATAATACTTTAAACTTAATGTGTGTTTACTCTAAGTTTAAAGTGTCACATTTGAGCTCGAGAGTAACCCAAATATCCATATTATTAAAAAAAATCAATTTAGAGCTTTTCAAAAATCATCTTCATTATTTTAAATACAAAATATCTGATAATGACAATTAAAACAGTTTATATATATACAAACTATGAAATTCTGGCTCTTTTAAGATTCATAAAATATGTAACATTTTCAAAACAAATTCAGATTATAATTCTGAATTCTATTAAGAGCATGTGTACTCCATATGTAACATATTATTTTTAAGTAAGCCTTTATTATTATTATTATATTATTATTATTATTATTATTATTATTATATATAAATTTGGCTCGAGCATGTGATTTTACCTGAAAAAATTGAATTAAATTTCAAGCTAGATGAAACTTCCTTAGATCAACTAAAAAATCAATCTAAACTATATTCTCAATCACAAATTAACCAAATATCAAGTTAACTACAACAATACTAAAAAATAGTTTTTAAAATAACAATACATATTATCCCAAGGATGTTTTCATCTTTCAATTATCTTATATCTACCTTTTCATCTATATTAGTATTAAATTTCTAAATTTGTGTAAAAAATTAATATAGTATCATTTTAATTTTAATTAAGAGAACCTTTTATTAATTTAAGAGTGATTATTGGTGATAGTATATGCTGTAGAAATTCTTAACTATTTGACAATGAACGTTCAAATATTATACAATTGTTAGTGTTTGAACCCATGAGCTTTAAGGATAACAACCATCCCTTTAACCACCAAGGTTGCTTAGTTCATACAATTAAGAGAATATTAAAATATAATGTTCTTGAACTATAATTTATATTATTGTAAAATATTTTTCTTTTTGTGTAATTTTACATAACATTTAAATAAAATTACTATCTAATAATTAAACTTGAATTAATTGATAATCTTTTGCAATTTGCTCCTACAATGAATCATTGAATAATTTTTATAATATGTTATTATATATTTTATAAAGGGTTTATTTCATTTATATTATGAGTGTTATTTAGGTCCCTTTTGGCATAGCTTTCTAAAAACACTTTTAAGTAAATAGCCCATTTCGACCACAAAACTAATGTCAAATAGGTAAAAAATGAGGGGAGGAAATACGGTGGAAACCGTGGTTTCAAACCAACCTCAAAAGCTATGATTTCTAGCTTTTTCAATTCAACTTTGCATTTGGAAGCAAATTATAATTTTACCATTACTAATGCATGTGATCCACTTAATTATGTATTTACATTTTATTTCGATAATTTAATACTAACATCCTTAAAAAATAATTTATTTTAATTACTAATGTTTTTATGTAATATTAATTTTGTTAAAACAAGTATTTAAAATATTATTTCATAATAATTCTATGTACGAATGTTAAAAGTATTTATAATATATTTTTTTCATAACAAAATATTTCATATATAAAAATATTATTAATGAGTTATATTAAAATATTTTTTTACATTTTTATTATAATTTAAGTTTATATAATTTATATCATAGTAATGACAAGTGTAAATATAATTTAAATGATATAATTCAATATACAACATAATATTTATAACTAACATTTTATCTTTTCAAACTCACTTTTTAACAATAATCCCAAACCAATTAAATTTTAAAATGCATTTTTGTACAACACTTTTAGAAGTTTGTTTCTACACACTTTTAAAAGTTTGTTTACCTTTTCAAAAGTTGCGTCGCAATTGGACCTTAATCTAATTAGGGTTCATTTGGTAATGTTGTTTAAAATCACTTTTAACTAAAAAGTTTATTTTGACCATAAAATCATTGTCAAACGGGTAAAAATTGAAAAAACAAATGTGGTTGCATCGATGGTTTCAAATCAACTACAAAAGCTATGATTTCTAGTTTTTTATTTCCAACTTTGTGTTTGGAAACATATTTATATTTTTACTCTTACCAATACATGGCCTCGCTCATTTGTCCTGGAAAAAAAATTGAAATTCAATTTCCTCTATTAATTACGTTTTTACATTTTATTTCAATAATTTAATAGTAATGTTCTTAAAAAATAATTTATTATAATTACACAAAATAAATAAAAATTTGTATATATATTAAAATATTAATAGTAAGTTATTAAAAATATATTTTTATTATAATCACATATTTTATTTGAATTTGGTATATTTTTATTATAATTTAAATTGATATATTTCATATATAATAATTTCTTTTATATTTATTTATAATATTTTTTTTGAATGGTTGAAAGGATAAATATATATCATTTAAATTATTTTATTTCATTGTGTTCAATTATTTTATTTTAAATTTTAAATGATTGATTATGATTAAATCAAAATAATTAAAATACTATTTTAGAATCAAATGTTAAAAGTATTGATAATATTTTTTTTCTTAATAAAACATCTCATATATAAAAATATTATTAATAAATTATCTTAAAATATTTTTATATTTTTAGTTGATATATTTTATATATCATAGTATTAATAAGTATAAATATAATTTAGATGTTATATTTTAAATTTACAATATAATATCTAAAATATAAATTTTATCTTTATAAAATCACTTTTAATAACAATCTCAATCAGTTACAATTTAAATTATAGTTTTGAAAAGCCACTTTTAAAAGTTCTTTACTACAATAATTTTAAAAGTTACTTTTCAAAAGTAATGGTCCATTTGATAATGTTTTCTAAAAGCACTTTTAGCTCAAAAGTTCATTTTAAATATTAAAAATCAATGCCAAATAGATGGAAAAAATTGTAGTGGAAATGATAGTTTCTGTTGAACCAACATTTGATTTTGATATAACATGATTTTTTTAAAATGTTTTAAACTTGTTAAAATTTATATTTTATGATTTTATAAATAATTTGTCATAAACTATTTTGAAGCATTTTTAAGGGTGAAAAATAATCATAAATGTTATTAAGTGATTTCATATTTTACAAATATTGTTTTAAAACTCAAAACACTTGAACTTAGCCAAAAACCCTTATCAAACTCGAAACCAACATGTTAATCTCGATACCAATATTCCAATGGACATTTTGGTATCAATACCATAGTGATGGTATCGATGCTGGTGGGTGAGTATCGATACTCACATAAACAATATCGATATCAAAGGTTCAATGACTATATTTTTTACCGTTGGGATGGTCAATTTCGATACTTATTACTCGGTATTGATACCAAATGTGCAGAGGATCATTAAACGCTCAAAATTAATGAATCTGACGGTTCTAATAAATCTCCAATGGCTCCAAATGGCTAGATTAATGTTAGAAGACATAAAAGAGACCAATATTCAAATGGAAAACAACAAGAAAGAAAATTGCAAGATCAAACCAATATCAGAAGAGTTTTAGAGATAAAATGTCATATTTATTTTATAACTCACTTGTGAGCTTCTTTGTTCATTTTTACTCAAGTATGATTTAGGTGTGTGCTTAATTAGTTGCAAACACATTTGTCTTGTGATGTTTTCTTTTGTTTGCTAAATTTGTAATTACTATTGTGGAGAGAGTGTAAGCAAGGTTTTGGGTATAAAGCATGTGTTGTTGTAAGATTGCACTTTATCCTCAAAGGTTAACAAATCTAGTGGATTTGAGAAATCCTTAGTGTGGATATTAAGATAGTGGATGTAAACTTTGGTTTAGAAGTCCAACCACTATAAATTCTTTATGCAAATTTTGTTTTTCGGTTGCTTTCACCACTAAGATTTTAAAAGATCAATTTACACCCTCTTGGCTATTTTCGGTTGTTTGATAAAGATAACAATTGATATCAGAGCATGTATCTATTGGCAATTTAACAACATTGAGAAGGTCATAGGAGAGCTCTACCAATTCCATCAATCAACCGATAAAGATGGCTTCAACTTCTGGCACCTACAATGTTGAAGATTCTCAATCCATTACAAGACCATCATACTTCAAAGGTACAAACTATTATTATTGAAAGAATATGATGATTTTGTTCATTCAAGCTACTGATTATTCGATATGGGATGTGT